CCTCTCTCCTAATTCAAATTTTATAAAATTATCTCCTTTATTTTTTTATAAAAACACTAACTTTTATAAAAGTGCTTAATAAGCAAATTTGATTTATTTAAAAATCTTGTTTTCAACAATTAAATTATGATTAATACTTGATAATTTAATTTCTATTTCATTGGTATAATCCATAATTTGATTAATAAAATTTGATATTAGGAAGTTTATAGCCAAATTTTATAAGGTTTTTAAGCTTTATAATTTATAACTTTGGATTTTTGGCTCTTTAGGGTTTTTGGAATATTGTTTGATATTCAACAACATGTTGAAGTATAATTAGAATGTTTTAATTTATTTTTAGGCTTTTATACCCTATTTCAATTATAACAAAGCTTGAAGCTTTATTCTAATTATAGTATTGGCATTTCCTATTGTAGCTAAGCAACTTACTAGAATTGTAAGTATCAAGTATATTAGTCCTAGACCTTAGTTGGATCCTAGTTTATGCAAGATTTTTGACCTAATTTATACTACTAGGTCATGGCATGTTGTGCATGAATGGTTATTATAAAGATGCATGAGTCCAAGAATGACCTGAATTGGCAGTTGTCACAGTTGCGTACGGTACACAAATCATATATAGCTTAGATCCGATAGGCCTTTGAATATGTGATACTACTCTATATCCACATCCCAATGACGAAAAGGAAGTAGAGCGAAACCACACATTCTTAGCCTAAGGGATCCTTATTATATATAACCTTGGGAGTATACCCTCTGTAATTGTAGGTATATCAATAAGGATCTTTTTAGTTCTTCACACAAGGTTATCTATGGCTCCTAAAATACCCCTATGGTATTTTAAATTTCTTGTTTGGTTCTTAACTTCCGAATATGATTCTGGGATTAATGTGAGTCTTTTAGTATTCCAAAATACTCCCATAGTATTTTAAACTTTATGTTTGGCTCTATCATTCCTAGTTGGTAAGTTTCAGACCTGTTGCAACACCACTATCACTCCCAAGCACACATTCATCGCATCTCGAATAAACGTAGTTGATCAGGTTACATTTATTCTAGCTTACGATTACATAACTTCCCAGGTTTGACGGTAATGCTCAACATCCGAAGACTTTATTATTGTTCTTCTTGTGATACTTGTGTTCAAGTGTTTAGATTCTGGATGTTCTTATACTTTTGTAAAATATGGTTATATTTTAAAGTATAATTCTTGGTCAGAGTGTTTTATCCCTATGTATTTATAGGTTGTATATCTTTTATGAAATGATATACTTAGCTTACTATAAACAATGCTCTGATACCAATCTGTCGCACCCCAAAACCGGAACGTCGGAAACGTTCTGGGGTGGATGACGTCATGTCAAGTATCACAACATATGCAGTATAATAATCAAAGTACAACAACCATTGCATTAATAGTAATAGTTTTACATGGTTTACAGTACATAGAAACTTCAAAGTAATACAAGTAATAATATAGCTGCAGCTTGGTAATAAACTGTCTTCATCAAAAGCTCCAGCGATGTACCTATCTATTGCTGACCAGAGAATACAAGTTATTTGAAAAACGAGTATCAACATTTTTACAAATGCTGGTGAGTTCATAAGTATTTAGTGTCATTTTATCCAAATAACGTTATATAAGTAGTAAATTTAGAGTATACATCGAATTAGAATCCTTTCCAGAAAATCCTATATTTTCTAATTTAAAAGCAGTCTTCTACCAAGACTGGACGGAATTATGTTGTAAAAAGTGATTTTTCCCTTAACACTATCATTATCAAAATAGGGTATTGATTGTAAAGAAAGTAGGAGAATATCAGGGAAAACAACATATGCCTCAGCAGTGAAGACTGCTGACTAAGGCAAAACAAATCATAGACTCCAGGAGAGTATCGAATGAACGACGCACCTAACTCAGTCTAACTAGAGGAGACACAGACCCCAGACAGTATCAAATGAAAGATACGTCTAGCAAGGTCTAAAAACAGTGAACACAGACCCCAAACAGTATCAAATGAATGGTACGTCTAGCAACGTCCAAATACAGTGAATACAGTGTTAAAACCCGTTACCTTAAGGCCATGAATTATAAGGTAATCCCGAGATACTCGTAACCATACTGGTAAACACTAGAGAACTTGACGCCCTGCAAGCTTTGGTATGAATATGACATTTGTCACTCTTTAGCTTGGTAGGGCGAACTAGCCTTCCTCATTCCTTTAAACATTATTTATATAACTTATACAAGCACATGCATACATTTAACTAAGTAGAAGCATTTAACGAAGTTTAAGTGTTTAACGAAGTAGAAGTGTTTTACAAAGTACAAGTGCTAACAAGTAGAAGCGTATCGTGAAGTATAAGCGTATCGTGAAGTATAAGTGAATTGTGAAGTCGAAGTGTATTGTGAAGTAGTAGTATACCGTGAAGTATAAGCGTATCGTGAAGTATAAGCATATCGTGAAGTATAAGTGAATCATGAAGTAGAAGTGTCTTTTGAAGTAGTGGTGTATCGTGAAGTATAAGCGTATCGTGAAGTAGAAGCGTATCATGAAATATAAGCGTATCGTGAAGTATAAGTGAATCGTGAAGTAGAAGTGTATCGTGAAGTATAAGCGTAGCGTGAAGTATAAGTGAATCATGAAGTAGAAGTGTATCGTGAAGTATAAGCGTATCATGAAGTAAAAGTGTTAACAAAATAGTAGCATTTAACTAAGTAGGAGCATTAACTAAGTAGAAGTATAACAAAGCAGTAGTATTTAACAAAGTAGGAGTATAAAAACATGTAAGAAAACTTTCATGAAATCTTTGGAAAACCTTTATACTTTAAGAAAATCATTCACAAACACATTTGATTGTAACCTTGATAAAGTAGAGAAAACCTTTATTTAAAATGCTGTTGTAACAGAGTTTGAAATAAAACATACAACATGAGAGGCAATTTGAGAAAAGCTTTGAACACATAAAAGACGTTTTAGAAAACCATTTACAGTATCATACTTGGTAAAACAGTTGACAGTGTGATGAATCCTTGTGCATGCGGGTTATAAATCACATGTGATTGATATGATAACTGACATGTTTAACTTGTATTCCCCCCTAAAATCATGTAAAAACATTTAATAGGTTAATTCAGGGGTATGAACTCACCTGTTGTAAGCGGATCGAACGAAAGTGCCGGTTAGGTGCTCGGTGTCAAGTAATGACTGGAACACACTTAGTGACCTATAAACATATGATGACATATTTTTACACACAATTAGTAAATAAAATACTAATTAAACACGTATAAGCATCCTAAGATGCGGAAAACACTTTGGTCAAGTGCTAGGAGTGTCCCGGGTAACATCTAAAGTTGTGTATGACCCAGATTGGGAGTTTACTCTTCAAGAGTAAACTCTTTATAGATTTTATGGCCCTAAGACCTTATCCCCATGAGTTTATAGCCGTAAACTCATGGATGGTGTGTTCTTTGGTGCATTAAGGTCTTTTAACACTTGGTGAACTAGGCCAGGTTGAATTCTAGGGCTTATAAAGGGTTTAAGGCTTCAAAATGGGCCATTTAAGGAGTTTACAGCCTATGAATACTCCTTGAGGAGTTTATGACCATAAACACATGAGTTTACGGTAGTAAGCTCATGTTGGTCCATTTCTTTTGTTGTTTGGTGGTTCTAACTCATGCATGTAAGGTTCTAGTCACTTTTAGGAACTTAGGAAGGTGTTTGGGGCACTTGAACACCTTGGAAAGGTGTTTACGGTCCAAGGAGATGTTCTTGGGGAGTTTAATACCTTAAACATATGAGTTTATAGTAGTAAAATCATGTTGTCCATGAATCCTATGTTTTGGTGGTTGTAGGTTAAGCATACAAAGTTCTAGGTCTAATTCCAAGCCATATAAAGTCTTAAGGGCACTTTAACACCCTTTGGGGGTGTTTATGGTCTAAGGATGGGTGTTTACGGTCTAAGAACCTTCTTCGACCGTAAACTCAAGTGTGACATGTTTTTGTATGCTTTGGTGCACCAAACGAAGGATTACAAGGCTCTAAGCACCCATGGAAGCTTTTGGAAGTGTTTGAGGGGTGGTTTAACACCTTAAAAGGTTTTTAAGGCCCATGAACATGGGTTTATGGTCAAAGAACATTCTTAGACCATAAACTCATGTTTACTCCCCATTTGGTCCGATTTTGGTGTTCTAAGTCCCTTCAGGTAAGCCTCTAAGCCATTGTTAAGCATAAGAAGTGGTTTGGAAGGGTTTTTGAGCATTAAAACCCCATTATGAGTGTTTACGGTCCATGAAGATGTTCTTGGATTGTATACTCATGTTCTTGAGGGTTTCGGGTTTTAAGTCACGAATTTGGAAGCTAGATAAGTTAGATAACAAGCTAGGAAGGTTAACTTACCGATTTGAAGCTCGTAGGGGCGATTTTTGACCAAAACCTGTTTGTAGAGAGAGAAAGTAGAGAGAGAGAGAGAGAGAGTCTTAGGTTGGAAAAGGATTCTAAGGAGTGTCCACCCACCCTTATATAGGGCTTTGGTGTTGTACCCGGTATACGACTACCCGATACTTATGTTTAACGAGGTTTAAAATTTTACCCGGTTAAATGGCCGTAAATAAAAATAAACTTGTTCAAATTAAATGGAAAGATAATTTTAGTGTATTTATTTTCGCTTGACGAATATTAATTAAAATATTCCAACGGGTTTAAATCCGGTGAAAAATATTTTCGGGATAAATTAGACTAATTTTTGACGTAATAGAATTCGACATTAATTTCGACGTTAAAACTAACGGAAATTTTTGGGTTGTCACAGAAGACAACACCTGTTTGAAATGGTTAGAATCTAAACCAAAATCATCGGTTATTTATGTGAATTTTGGTAGCACAACAGTGATGTCACATCAATATCTGCTTGAGTTCTGATGGGGACTTGCAAAGAGAAATTGTCCGTTCTTATGGATAATACGTCCAGATCTTGTGGATGGGAAATCTGCCATGCTTCCACCAGAGTTTTTGGGAGAGATAAGCAATAGAGGGTTGTTGGCTAGTTGGTGCCCACAAGAACAAGTTCTAAATCACCCATCAATTGGAGGGTTTTTAACACATAGTGGATGGAATTCAACAATTAAAAGTATTTCCAGTGGAGTCCCAATGATTTGTTGGCCGTTTTTTGCTGACCAACTAACCATTTGCTGGTCATGTTGCAACAAGTGGGAGATTGGCATGGAGCTTGACAGTGATGTAAAGAGAGAAGAAGTTTCCAAGCTAGTCATTGAGTTGATGAATGGAGACAAAGGGAAAGACATGAGGAAGAATGCAATTGACTTGAAGAAAAAGGCCGAAAAAGCATGTACCTCTCCTTCTGGTTCATCCATTGTTAATTTGGGGAAAGTGATTGACCATCTACTACAAGGATCTCCAAATAGTTTTTATCTGTTTAGGATGCGTGTGAGTTTATGATTATATTCTGCTAGGTGCCATTTGTTTGCTCAAAAACATCGATGTTGTGTTTCTGATGTAATTTCGTTCTCTTGCCTTAATTAATCTGAAAGATGAAAACATTAGAGTCCTTACTGTTGATGTGAGTTTGATGTAATATCATTCTCCTGCATCAACAATCCATTGAACTCTAGAATTTGATGGATTGTCATATCATCTAATATCTACACAACTTCACTTTTACCACCAACACATTAAACATCTCTTCAATCATAATAGTCACTAATTTATTCAATCATAATAATCAATAATATATTCTATATATTGAACGTTTAAACATTTATTTAATCTTACTCACCATCTTCAACTTGCAATGTGGATCTCCTAAGCAGAGGAGTTGATTTTAATGATGTATAACTAAATAGTGTCAAGATTTGGTTTGATCTTGACCATATTGATTATGCGTACAAAAAAACTTGTAAGCATGGACGAATGTAATAAATAGCAAAGCTAAAGACACTACTAGAAAATATGCCTTCAATGACATACGAACTATGACGCACACTGATTTTTTTACATACAAAACACTATGTCATAGAAAAATGTCTTATTTTAAGAAATATAAAGGATTTACGACATTTATAAATGTATGTCATCTTTGCTATCATAAAATTAAATAAAATGAAACGCATACGATACTTCTTTTTTTGTCTGTAATATTAAATTAATTACCTTATCGTCTTTTAATTCCCATTTGTACAGTGTCTTCTAAGATTCCTTAATTGGTTAACTCTTGAATCTATTCAAGGTCAATTGTGCTCCCACTCTCCTTTTTGCATATGAGCTCTCTCTCACGAAACACTCCTCTTTGTGCTACAAAGACCAGGTTCTTACTAGTCCTTTAGAACAAATATCTAAAGGAATTTTGTAGGTAACCAATGAAAAATAAATTTTACTTCTAGATTCTAACTTGTCATGAGTCTCTCATCTAACGAAAGCTTCACAACCCTAGACTATAATATGTTCTAACGGGGGAACTTTCCTTGTCGACATTTCGTGAGGTGTTTTGGCAACCATTTTAGTAGGGACAATATTGAGGATGTGGGAAACTGTCTCTAAGGCATACCCCCATAAGGAAATGAGAAGAGTGACTCAATTCATCATTGAACGAACCATGTCCAATAAGGTTCGATTGCGCCTCTCAACCACACCATTAAGTTGTGGTCTCGTACGAGGAGTTAATTGTGAAACTATTCCACATTCCTTGAGGTAGTCTTGAAACTCGATACTAAGATACACTCCTCCTCTATCAGATCAGAGCATTTTTATCTTCCTGCCTATTTGATTCTCGACTTCATGTTGAAACTGTTTTAATTTTTCAAAGGTTTATGATTTATGTTTGATTAAGTAAATATAGCCATATCTACTATAATCATCCATAAATGTTACACAGAACCGATTGGCATCTCTTCTGTTCGATCTGAAGGGCCCATATACATCTGTATGTATGAGGTCCAACAATCCTTCACCTCTTTCACAAGATCCAATAAAAGGTGATTTTGTAATTTTTTCCAAAAGACATGATTCACACTCATAATCTGGCCTTAGGTTAAATTATTCCAACACTCCATCCTTTTTGATTTGGGCGATGTGTTTGTTGTTAATGTGCCCAAGACGACAATGCCACAAACATGCATTGTCTAAACCATTAGACGAATCAATATGAAACACATTACTTCCTAAACTATCAACACAAGTAAAAATTTCATACACTTCATTAGAAGGTAAAGCTTGAAATATAAAAACACCATTTTTAAAGACTACAATTGAACCATTCAAATCATTAAAAGCGTAGCGAAGACCTTGTGTAAACAATGCATCAAAAAAAATTGTTTCATGTCAATTCTGACAAATAGCAACAATTAATTAAATCTAAACTAACATCACTACTAAGCATAAGATGATGAGTCCCAATCTTGGTCATAAGAGAAGATCACATATTTCCCATGATCAGATTCATCTTCCCATGCTCCACCTCTTCACTTTCTCTTAGCCATGCAAATTAGAACAAAATTGAAACCACATCCTGTATCAAGGACCCAAGAACGAGTAGATGGTGAGTTATTAATTTGGATAATGTATATACCTAATGAAGATGGCTTCACCTTGCCATCCAATGTCCTGCAAGTATTTAAGGGAAACTCATCTTCCAATGGTCCTTGTCACTGCAATAATAACAAGTGGCCTCTTTGGGGCCACTAACAACTGAAATGTTTGACTTTGAGCTTCGCGATTGGCCTATTGCTTGAAGACCCAACTTCGGCATTATTCTTCCAGATAGCTTTAGGAGAATACTTTCTCTTCTTCCTTTTCCTTTACCAATTGCAAGAACGGGAGCACTAGTAGTAGTGGTAGGGGCTTGACTCTTGCCTTTCATTCCTAACTCAGCAGTATGTAACAAGTTGTAGAGTTGAGCCAATATGGTCACTGTTTTGTTCAAATAATAAGATTATATAAAATGATCATAATAGCTTAGCAAAGAATTTAAGACTATGTCTATGGTCAACTCCTCGTTAAAATGCACATTGAGCTTAACAAGTCACACCACCAATCTTTGCATTCTTTACACGTGCTTGTAGACAAACTATCCCTCTTTCATCTTTCAAGTCGTAAGGGACTTGACCACTTCAAACTTTTCTTGACGAGCTCTCTTGTGGTACTTTTCCACAAGGTCAATGTTCATCTCAAATGACTTGTAGTCCTCATAGAATATTTGATACTCTCGAGTCATTATGGAGACCATGATGCAAATAATTTTTTTTCCATATTATAGTGTTTTTTGTAGGAGGCTAGCTGTTCAGGAGTAGCACTAGCTTGATCGACTTCAACAAGCTTTTCCACAAGTTCATATTCCTTGCCCTCGAAGCGAATATCCATTATGATGTTGTGCATCCAATCATTGTAGTTAGAGCCATCAAATGTCACTTTGGAGACGATGTAGAGTAAGGAGAAACCCGAGTGGTGGGTAAACGATGATGGAGCACAAGCATCAATAGGAGTAGACATCTATAGAGAAAAATAGTTTTAGTTACATGACAATAATCCTTAATACTTAACCCAAAATAAAACAATTAAGGCTAGGATCCAAAATAAAAATTCACAACTAAGAAGAGGAATGTCGTAATCTTATTGCGAATTTATGAAGGTAGGTAAAAGCAATTTATCAAATTCGAACTATGAAATTCCTAGATCTCTTGAGATTCATTGAATCTATCATTGGCATGTTTAATCTTATATTATGCTCTTCTATTTGTGACTGAGATACCAACAATCACAAACAAGATGTGCATAACCATACAAATATGATTGGAACTCTCGATGCCATTTGTCATCTTATTTTAATGCATATGTTAACCACAGGCGTTCCATCAATCAATGATAATTTTCACGATGCCCATTATTACTCTTTATAGTCCCTATTTGTGTCTCGATTAACCACACGTGCTCCACTAACTAGTATAAACTATAATGTGATATTTGATGGATTCACATATTTTTCACATTTTTCCTAAAGTAACTAAGAGTGAGATTTTATAAAATAGTTTAGTTACTTAATAACTTTATACTTTTAATGAAGTTAATGTCCTATCAGATCCGTTCTGCTAACGACTCTCGAGAGCGGTGGGTAAGAGAATGGCGGTCATTTTATAGGCCGCTTCCGTAAACTCTACTTATAGTTCAACATTTTGAATGAGGCATACTTATACATATAGTAATTAACTTTTAGTGTTATATATATATATATATATATATATATATATATATATATATATATATATATATATATATATATACACACACACACTAGGTGTAAGACCCATGTATTACATGGGATAATTAAAAAAATTAAATATAAAGGTCTAAATATTTAAGAACTTAGGATTTATAAAAAAGTAAGAAAAATAATGAATTATTAAAATTGATTTTTTATCTTTTAAATTTAAATAAATAAACAAAATAAACTAATGATCTTTAATTTGGGAATTTTGAAATAAGAAGGTAAGTGCATTAATGAAATTGATATTAATTTATTACTACATTTATTATAATTCTTACATCACATTATTATGTGGAATTTATTAAAATAAAAAAAATCCATAAAATGACATGTGGAAAGGAAATTAGTTCAAAATAACCATAAAATGATATTTGATAAATTGAATGAAAGTATGAAATGTGGCAAAAAAAACCTTCATTTATTAGAGTGTGTGTGTATATATATATATATATATATATATATATATATATATATATATATATATATATATATATATATATATATATATATATATATATAAAGTTTTCTAAAATACTAGGTTTATTAAAATTTCAAAACTAAATAATTAATTTAATTCAAATATACCAATTAATAATTGACATTAGTTATTACGATTGATTAATATTTAAATTAATTATTTACAAACTTCAAAATTAATCATATTAATCAATAAAAATAATTAATCAGGTCAAAGATTTATCTCCTAACTTATAGGCTTTTATTTTATCATTAAATATTCAGTAAATTTGGATTTGACAGATATTTGAATTAGATAATTACCAAATAAAGACATCCAAAATAGAATAGGCAGAAAAACACGGAAAATTTTATCTGCTCAGATCTCACGTCATGAGCATCAATGCTCACACATTGGGATACAAAATTTGAATTTTTTTTTTTGAACGATTCACCCATGTGGAATTACATGAAAGATAGCCTTAGGTTCTTATACCACTGGCAGAAAACATAGATTAGAATCCTATTCTCTAAGCGGAAAAACATTTAACAGTTAAATGATTAGGGCACATCCAACTTAAGGGGGATCTACGTCTTTCACATAAAGGCAACATACTATGAACTATCAAACTACAAAATGTTCCTCATAAAATCTGAATTCATAAGGAGGATTACATACCTTGTTGATTTTTGTAGAAAACAATCAAGAATCCTTTCTTCAAAGCTT